TATAAATTCATTAACTACAACAATAGCATCATTAAAAAAATAGAGAAACACATTTTCTCCCATTTACCACAAATCAAAATAATGTTGTCTAAACCTACATCCGCCCCAAACCCCCTAATTGCTTAGGTTATCCAATATAAACCCAACAGCCATAATCCAGCCATAATATTGCTTTCTTCTGCCATCTTCAGGCAACATTTATCTATTCAATCGACAAAGCTCTGTAATGCGCTGTAGTGATCCATTATCCACTTTTCTATAAAAAAAATAAGTAAGAACAACTATCCTCCAAGTACATTCAACCACCAAGCAAAGTTGTTAGAGCAAAGAATGGCAGGAAAAGTGGAAACCGTGCAAGTTAAGCAATGCAGTACTCAGTGTGCTCTAGTCTATATGTACATAAGGAATGAGCCAGAGGTACTGAATAATCCAGTCTCAACTTATTAAAACTCCTACATTGCTTGGCAGGTGAATGTACTTGTTTTGTTATCAATGACTGCTACAGTGCATTGAAGAGTAAACTTTGTCAATTCAATGGGTAAAGGTAGCTTGAAGCAATGTGAGCATGTTTTTACTTATGGACCCCATTACTTTAATTATGGCCATTGGGTTTATATTGGATACCCTGAGCAATTGGGGGTTAGGTTTGGACAGCGTTGTACTGTTTTATGGGAAAGGAGGGTGTGGGGGGGGGGGTTCCCTATTTATGAAATTATGCTCTTATGAATTTTTGTACTGAATGAAATGTATTAAATTTAGGAGTTATTCTCATAGTAGTGTCTTTTATCCATTGTTTCTTTCTTGCTATAGACATGTTATTGTAGTAGAGGAGACACCAGCCTCTATATGTTTGCTGAGAACTCACCTTTAAATATACTGTCAGGATCCTGCAGAATTGTTTTATTTAGTCCCTGGTGAGACCAGGGCTCTGTGGGATCTTGCCAGGGCTCTGTGGGGTCTTGCCAGGGCTCTGTGGGTCTAACAAGGCTGGTTAGACCCCACAGAGCCCTGCTACCCTGGTGAGGCCCCCTCAAAGCTCTGGTGAGACCCCCCTCTGTATGTGCATTATATTTAATCGAAATTAGTCGATTAATCGATAACAAATTTTTTCGATTAATCGAACAGGAAAATTTTAATCATTACCAGCCCTAGTTTTATTATGTTCATATTTGCTATTTATGTCCAACTGGAATGATCCAGTGCTATATTTGCTTATTAGAGATGTGTGGGGGCTTAGTGCGAACCCTGTTCGCCGGAGTTTACTCAGGCCTGTGCAAAACTGTGACTGACACCGAACCCCCTCCCCCCCGCCCAGTCAATTGAATTGAATTAATCTGCCTTTAATAAAAATGGCCACTGTGAGGAGACTGGGGAAGAAAAAAAAAACAAGGTATGCAAGGAATTAAAAGCTGGAAATTAAGTATAAGTGTCTGTAGATTGTCATTACTAAACGTTTATAAAGGTGCCTTTGTTGTTATTTTGAAGATATGGGTAAAGGTCCTCTTTTAGGGCCCAGTCACATGATATCCAGTGATCCAGAATGCACTGGATCGCATAGATCAAGCCGGGCAGCGTTCTAGGCCGGTAGGGTGCGCGTCGGTACCATTCATGTTAATGTCACCACAGACACACACACACACCTGTCCGCAGTGAGATCGCCTGCACCATAATGTGACAGGAATGCCCTCCGTTCCAGTGCAGTGCGATCTCAAAAAATGCTACATGCACTTTTTTTTTTTAGATCACACTGCACTGTGATAAAGGGCATCCCTATACCTCGCGGTCCGATGTGGGCAATCACACTGCGGGGAGGGGGGTGCCTGTGGTGCCATTGACATGAATGACACTGGCACGCCCCCTCCCACCCCAAAACGCTGCCCGTCTTGATCTATGCAATCCAATGTGTTACGGGCGCGAACCGCACTGGAACGCACTGAATATGGTTTGACTGGCCTAATAACTACACTGCCAGTACAGATACTTTAGCAGTCATCACTACTGAATAAAAACCTATGGTAAATAGAACTCTGTTACCTTTTGCTTGTAGAGAGAGGCTTCCCTCCCACCCCTATGGCCTGCAGTCTCCTGACTTTGTTTTATATCCTACTGTGCTGGAAATGATTAATGCACCTTCGGTAAAAAGGTTCTCTGAGTAAAAAATGTTACCTCCTTTTATAAATTGCCTTTTGGTTAGAGGGCTCTTTTGCCATTTTCTTGAAAGGTGTGCTCAAAAGTCAGCCTGTCATATTTGAACACTATACTGTATGTGCTTTCTACGCATTGCTAAATATGCAGCCATATATTATGAAGAAGCCTTCTGTCTGTGCAGTGACAGTTAAAGGAGAATTATGAGGCGAGTGATTTTCACTCAGCCTCATAATCTGAGCCGACCTGTGACAATGAAACTGTCACAGGTCGGCTTTGTAGATCGGGAAGTGAGCGAACACATACAGGCGCTCGCTCACTTCTCGATCTATCCGTGCAGAGAGCCGTGACTGTCACTCACGGCTCCCTGCAGGGATTCTCCCCCCCCCCTCCCCTGTCCGATCCTCCGACTGGTGGAACGGATGGGGAGGGGGCGGGTACTGCTGGCTCTGCCTCTAGATAGGCAGAGCCAGCTGTCACTCACGCAGCTCGGTGGATCCAGACAGACAGCTGTGGCGTCTCAGTATGCAGCTTGCGGTATACTGAGCTTTGGGTGATGGGAGGACGCTAGTTTGTGTCCTCCCGTTACCCTAAGGAGAACTATGGGGAAAAGCACTGACCCCATAGTTCTCCTTTAAACCGCCACTACCACCATTGAAGTAAGGAGTGCCCTACCATAGAATGGCTGCTCTGGCAATCACTGCACCTTTGCAATAGCTGGAGAAAAGCTTTACCTAGAAAAACCTCTTTAATTAGGTACTTAACTGCAATGTAAAGGTAATTTTGTTGATTGCTACCAAAAATATTGCATTATGTGATCCCATCTGATATATTGTTTTTTTTAAAATGATTTTTCATAGCAACATTTGTTGAAAAACAGCAAAGGTCAGGAAGATATGATCCTGCAGCTTCTAGTAGACCTTTCCAGTGAGTGCGGTGTAACTTTTCCTACTTCAGCCAGTGGAAGATCCTTTCAGTGCACATCTCAGACCTCACTACATGCTATTGATGATGACCTGTCCATGGATTTGCAGACTGTATGGGATGATGTGAGACTTCATTTACGGCGGCATCTAGTTGCAAAATTGCAAGCCACTTCTCATAGTTCTAATAGTCATTCTGGAATTCAGATCAAATCTAAGTGTTTGCATTACCTGCTTTTTCTTTATCCAGAGTCTGATGTCCTTGTTAAATACCAGAATATTCAGCATCATTTTGTAGTTGAACATCTTCATAACTACAGAGGGAGAAATGCTGAAAATATACTTGGGGCTTACCAGAATGCTGTTCCCAAGCTATACACAAGGATAAAAGAGGATATGTTTGTTTTAAGCCGTGTTATAGACTCTTCATTAATTATTAAGTTTATCAATGAGACTTTCTTTGAAACCATCACAGAAGAGATGAAAACATTCTTTGAAATACTTTGTGAAACTGGCACAGAGGAGCAGGCTCTCCAGCCACCCAGACTCAACAAGAAGAAGCACAAACAGAGAGTCCATGCCCTTGGTAAGTAGTTAAATTATTCCCAGTAGTATGTATTGATGATTTGTAATTTCTAGACATGTGTCTCTTTTGTAAGCAGCTATTTTATTTAACCTCATAAACTGTAATTATAACCAAATAAATTACAAGAATTCCTAACACTAGTAATTGCATTTTCTAGAGGGAGACTGTTAAGTGCTCCCTATTTAGTTAAATGTACTCTTAAAATATTGTTACAAAAAACATACATTAGAATGCAGCCTACATACCTGAGTATATCAGGCCAGTCCACAGAGTAAACTTCACTGTTCTCTGTTGAGTTTGTCTTGATGCACTTTAGGGTATATTTATAAAGCAGTGAATGTGACATTCAGCAAACATTCCCTGCATGTGTCTCTTCCTGGTGCATATGTTGAGTAGGTATAGTTTACTGCTTGGGCTCCATTAGAGCGACAACAGTTTCACTAGACACGAAATCTGAAATAATGGGCACAGGCAGCATTAAAATGCTGACAGGCATTTTAGCCTTCCCCTGCTCTATTGGAGAAAAGCATTTTTCAACTTCTATGTGTGTTGCTCTTTAAGATTTTTTTCCTTACTTCCTGTCAGGTGGAACCTTTGTCACTGGGACAGGAAGGGGAGGGTTAATCTCCCTAACTGAGCCCCAGATGAGCAAAGCTAGAACCTGCAATCTCACTGAGGGGCATTGTTAGATAATGGGACCATAAAACACCAAACAATAAATGCATATGTTGCTGTATGTTATTATAGAATAGAAAAATGTATTTGGACAAATAAAATAAAAGTAAGAATCGAAAGTTGTGGCTTTGGAATAAATAATGCTAGTACATTGGGGCAAACTCTATCAAATATATGTTATAGGAAATTACATTTTGTTCCATAGAGAGGTCCTTTTAGCATCTCCCAGCTGTGTTAATTTTATTGTGGTGTCAGTTAAACCCTTGTTTTCAAAGAGTGACATACAGTAGGTTACCACAGCACTCTGGAACTAGCCATCCTCCTTCTGGATATACTTTTCGCTGGGGTGTGTCATTTTTGTTTACAACTTCATGACAATAGTTGTATGATTCTGACATCACCAAGTATCTCTAACAGACATGGTCAGAATGGACATATAAGACATGCTGGTGCTGGCAGTTCTTCAATGCTGCCAATCCGGATCCTTTGTACTTTATTTACATTATAAACTATGGGAAATCTAAGTGATCATTTATCACCTGTAGACAAATGTGAATATGTTTAAAGATTTGATTTAGATGTGTACAGAAAATTAAGTATTTCTCAAACAGCTTTATTCCTTTTTTAAAGTTACAGTTGACTCTAAACTTCTAACTAGAAAAGGATAGTCCACATCCAGAAAGGGAGGTGGCTGACTTGATATTTGTTTTACTAAGCAGCGTATAGGGAAATGCATGCACAGTAATTGATCCTGGTGGATGTATAAAACTGAATAATCTAACACTGACCCATGTAAATTTAATACAGATGTATGGCTGCTGTCTGGAAGCTGCAGCTAAGACAGAACATACGGTCTTAGATATTTATTAGATGTATTCAAGCCATAACGTAATTCACTGAAGCCGTAATACTGTCAGAGCTGCAGTCGCGTTCCATTGCATCATTGTAGTGGAGGATGTAGCAGATAATTATGATATACAATATTTTAACCTTCACATTATTACTCTACTTCAGTCGCTTGTTTACTGCCAAGAGGATAAAGCATCAGCAGAACAGTATGTAGTGTGACACCGATATTTTACTAAACGTTTGGGAGCACCTGCAGGTTCACTTCTGTGGATATACTGATATGCTAGACAGACATCGCCTAGTGACATCCTTTTATAATACACTGCTTTGGAATGTATGCATTTTTTTTAAAAAAAGGTTGTTCAGGTATTACAAAAGTCCCAAGATTAATTACAGTATATACCCCTACTTCATCACTGTGGAGTATATACTACCTGTGCTTCTGCACAGGGATCTAAAATGATGAGGCGATCCATCATGAGATATAGCTTTCCATTTGGAGTTCCAGGCATAAAAATAGATAGAGGCCTCACCTGACTTTTGACCTCTTTCTAGGGGAACCAAACCCTAGTTGTTTATATGCTAAACTAAAGTATAAGATTTCATACAGACAAAACAAGTATCCATATTCAAGGGTTGCCAGAGTCGGCAAATGTAGAAAACCTATGCTGAGAGAAATGTGGAGGCTGATCTCTCCATTGCTGATCTCTCCTTTTCGAAAATGCTAGTAGAGCACTAACCCAGAACTAGTATGCAAATCAGAAGTTCTGATGTCAGTGCCTGTGTTCAGTCAAAAAGGGCAACTTGTTGGGATTGGCAACTATGTCACTTCTGGTGCCTTTCCAGCAACAGATTTTGACGCATGTGGATTAGCTTTATATGTGCACTGGCAGCAGTTGCACAACTCAACAAATAATCTTATGGACTTTCTGTGGATGGGTAGAAGAACCCACCACACACCTCACAGCAGTACCGGCCTATGTAGAAGATGGTGCTCGCAGTGATGACCACGGATGGCGCCGTACAGACACAGAGTAGAGACAAAGATCACCAGCACTCAGTGATATCTTTCAATATATCCATTTAATTGGACAAAGCGTCACAGTAACAAAAGCCAACGTTTCGGGGCCACACAGGGCGAAAAGATGTTGCATCTTTTCGCCCTGAGAAAGGGACCCTGTGTGGCTTTCTGTTATGACGCTGGCTGCGTGCACATGCACACTACCGCCAACTTGTAGAAATCTCCTGCTTGCAAGTCACCGAAATTGACATGGTTGTCAATCTCAACTAGCTGCCTGTTTTGACAGAACACCTGCATGCTTTTTCTGGATTAATGTTTCTTAAGGTATTGAAATCATACACAGCCAGGGCAGCTTGCGTTTGCAGGAGGAGGTCAGAATTGGGAGCATCCGTAACCATGCTCTACCAGTGTGTCTCTTGGAACCGGCCTGTAGGCTCATATATAATCTGCTTTTGATAGCTTAGTACGGTTGGTAAAGAAAACGCTACCTTAAGGACTGTACATATTTATGGATATACAGTATAACTTGTTAAAACTTCTTTTGATCCCCTTTTTGGAGTCACTGTGTATAAAATATCTGAACATCTCACAGTGGTGCTCCTCAAAACCAGTGAAATACCACAACAGCAAAGACTGTCCTTCATGGAGTTACCCATAGGACAACAGATGCAAATGCTTGATTCATGGACCAGGACAGTGATGACCTATTTCCCTGTTCTTATTAAATCCATGTACAGTTTATTACAGTTTATTATACCTAAGAATTCTTCTATAATCCTAGTCAATTTCTCTCAACCGCAGCAATTGCCGCCCTCGGGGAATCTGCCGCTCCAGGCAAACGCCTTGTTTGCCTCGCGGCAGATACGCCCCTGATCCTAGTGCTACTCTCACTGAATAACTAGTTTAATCTTCAGAGTCACGGTGTTACATTGATCTACTCACCAGCAACACCAATGTCAAGGTTACAGACCCTGAACCAAAAGTGCTGTTGTCTCCAATTAGGTGCATATAGTACAGTTATCTTCCAGGTGCAGCACACACGTTTGTGATATATAATTGTACCTAGGAGCGTCCTGTTTAGATTTCGCATTGTCAAATGTCAGTATTCATGAGTATACCATTTGCAGAACACTGAACAACACCGGTGTGCAAGGCAGGGTTCCAAGGAGAAAGAACATTGCTGCCTATTGGTAATTTGCAAAAACCCTCCTGCAAGTCAGAAGGTTATTGGAAGAATGTTGTGTGGATGAATGATTACAAAATAGAACCCTTTGTCTCTAATGAAAAACATTACATTTGTTGAGCAGGAAGTTTTGGAGTCCAGCAAAAGAACATTATCCCATCTGAGAAATATGGTGAGGGCAGTATCATGGTTTAGACTTCCTGTTTTGCCTCTAGATCAGGGCCATTTGTGATTATTGATGGAATTGTGAATCGTACCAACAAATTCTGCAGGAAACCTATCTGTAAACTGAAGCTCAAGAGAAAGACTTGTGAGGTTAGGGACATTTCCTATGTACCAAAAAATGGTTAAAGAAGAAGATAGTTAATGTTTTGGAATTGCTGAGTTAAAGTCCTGACCTTAAATGTTGTAGAAGGACCTAAAACGTGCAGTTCATTTGAGGAAGCCCACCAACAACTATGCATTGAAGCTGGTCTGTAACACTAAATAGAAATGTTTAGTTGCAGTTATTTTTGTGTAAGGGGGCATAACAGTCACAAAAAAAACAAAGGTTCACATACACTAACATACACTATATTTGCTACACACAGATATGTACAGTACCTTTTGGATAATGTTTCTAAATATATACAGTAAATTAAGAAGCATTATGTTTGACTCATTCATTTAATTGAGTTCTCATCTAGTTTTAGGACTTGCATGAAAAACAGATCATGTTTTACGTCATGTGTATGCAAAAATATTGAAAATCCAAAAGGGTCACAAACTTTAAAGCACCACCACAAGAGCTGCCTAGAAGTAAAAATGAACATGTTGCCTATAGCAACCAAACTGCTCCAGGTTTGAAAATCAAAGCAGACAACTTATTTGTCTCTTAATGTTTCTGTCTCTCCACTTGTATAGAATACTTTTGAAGAAGGAAACCAATAGGACTTGGTAGTAAGCCACTGCAGCCTTCTTTCCCATTTCAACAGTCTATGATAAAATGTGAACATATCTATTTTTCCTAAAGATAAGCCTAGTTTATTGTATTGCTGCTATGTGAGATGATAATGCTATTAAAGTTCAGTACATTACATTCTTATATTATTCAAGAATCATGAATTAATGGGATGCTCCTAATATGGAGAAGCCATTTAATGTCTTTAACATTAGGTGTTACATTATTTCTTGTGGTAGAAAGTGTTTCATTTATAGATTTCATCATATAACACTTACAGAATAAGTCATGTGATAGAAGTGACCTCTGCATTTTCCAGATGTGTGATATTT